CTGGAGCCCCGGCGCAGTCCCCGCCAGGGGCGGGGGGGGGAATTTTGGGGATGGAAAGTCCCCACAATCTCAATGTTCCCAGGGTTGAGAACCACTGCAGTGAAGTATAAGAAGGAGGAGGAAATACAGCAAGGATGCAGACTTGCAAGGTTCTCTTTTTATAGCCAGTCTCACTAACCATAGTTTTAGCCTTCACATGGAATTGATTTCCTGGTCTGGTTTACCTGAAGGGCTGACCCCCATGGACTGATCTCTCGGTGGGACAGAAGGTTTGGCAATGCGGTCAGCACTTCTTTAAACCAGCATAGTTTTCTGCCAGCTCCTGTACCGGATGGCAGCACTGTAGCTCTGCCATGTGGAAGAGCCCAGAAACCAGTGCATTGTGGCAATGTCATTACATGAGGAAGTTGCACCATCTGAATTCCTGCCCATCATACTGCTGTAAAGGGGAACCCTACTCTTAAGATAAGAGGTATCAATCTTACTTCCTTCCCTATCCCCACTGTTAGCTTTGCTCTCATTTCCTCAAAACCTACCACTGGATATACTAAAATAAAAAGGGAAACTGATTGGGGGAAAAAACTACCTTCCCCCTAGCTACAAATAATACAGAGAGAGTAAACATGCCCTTAAACAGAACAGGGTTCAAACTCAAAACTAGTGAAAGTATCGAGCATGAATATACAGTCATTTTCCAATTTCCAGCCAAGTGTACTGTGGTCTGGTGTGGGCTGTGCTTGATCAAAGTTTGTAAGGCTGTTCTCTGAGCTCTTGGGCATCCAGGTCACCCAGGAGTCCTCAGGAGATCCAGGTGACATTTGAGTCCTTGGGGACACCCACAGGCATTTTCCTTGTTTTTCTTTTTAATAATAATTTTTATTCAAGGATGTTACACAGTGATAAAAACAAACCTACCGCTTTAAAGAAAAGAAAAGAAATAAAGAAAAATACAGAACAAGTGAATAAACGGAAGAAGTAAATAGAAAAAAGAAAAGATATAAAGAATCAGCTTCTGATCTTCTTTACAGCGTTTACAAATAAATGGATCATCTATCCTCCCTCATTCCCTTCTTCCCATATTTTATCCTTTCTAATCATCAAACCCATAAGTCATCAGCTCATTTTTTTCTGTTTTCAGCAAAAAGTCACCCACAGGCATTTTCCCTGACACCCACGCAGACTCTCTAATCTGCCTGACCTTAATTTAAGACCTTTTTAAACACAAATAAATGGGAATCTGCATCAACCTCTAACCTCATCCTTATTTATAAGAAGGTCTTGGTGGGAATACCATGGAAGTCCCCTAGTTGTTCTTAAAAATGGATACTGAGGTTGGCCCCAGCCCAGAGTATTCTTGAAAATGTCCTCATCTGCCCAGAAAAGGGTGTGGGTGTGGGTGAGTATCACAAAGAGGATCTTGGAGGTCTACAGTTGGCGGGTAGAAAGTAACTCAACCCATTCTGATTTTTTAAATGTGAGTTTTATGAGAGGACACAGGTCTGCAACAGCCATTTTGAGAACAGGCAATCCTTGCGCCACAATTGCTGGGTTTTACAAGCTCATCATTAAACAATCTCACACTTACAGATACGCCTGCTTGCTGACGAATGTGGCCGATCCCAGTTTTAAACCTTCTATACCAGTTTTATTTGTTTTTTTTTTAAAACTGGGCCTTTAATAAACAACCTGAATTTGAAATGGGAAAGTTGAAGACATTCACGCTGGAGATTTTTATTGGATGGTGAACTGGGCTGCTGATAGTCTGTGTTAGTCAAGGGAAAGTTAGCCAGGAGAGAGTTAGTTAGCTGGGGTTGACAGGCATACGAGTGTAGGAGGTGTAGTAATAGTGAGTAATTGTGGGAATGAGACTAAGCTGGGTGTGCAGAAGTACCCTGCCAGCATGTGGTGGCTGAGACTGGTGGATTGGAGTGGTGGATTAGAGCATGCAGGGATGTTAGTGCAATTTGGTGCTGGGGGTGGTTCTCAGGAGGGATGTGATGTGGGCCCCTACTGAAACTACAATGGTCAGAGGAGTAAGGTGAGGACACTTATAGACCAGTGTTTCTCAACCTTGGCAACTTTAAGATGAGTGGACTTCAACTCCCAGAATTC